AAGGGTTACAAGCTTTCTAGACTTGCACTGAAACTTGGAGAGAATGATTGCTTCCTCAAACATTAAAGAACAACTGGCTCAAACAAACATTTTCTGTGTAACACATGTCACTTAGAAAGCACAAAGAGCCTTCAGGTTTCAGCAATTGGCTGCACAAGACTTTCCGCTAAAAGAAGTTTAACAAAATTATACAAATTAAGGTAATCTTACCATTTTCAATAGCATCTATGACTGCATCTGTGTCCTTACTTCTGATGCAATCAATAAGCTGTCTGTGTGAATTCTCATGTGACCTGTCAAACCTTCGTAGACTGGCAATCCCTCCCTTGGGAATACTGACACAGGACTTGGGCAATGCACATCGTCCCTCAAACAACAGAACCAGCAGGAGATCTACCAGTCGCATGGTGTCCAGAACACATCTTTCATCACCTTGTAGGGCTTTTTGAATAGCATCTGGCAGTCCTGCTCTTAATAAATCCTGGAAACACATGAAATGAGCACAAACAAGGTATAAATTTTCATTTGTGGAATTTCACTTTTTATGCCCTATTCCAGGTGTATCTTCTAAAATGTAAAAGCTTGTTCCAAATGAAAAATAAAGCAAATATAATGGAGACCAAGTTTTACATGCAAATGCAATGCAATTCTGTAAGATGTCAGGAGTTTGCAACAATAAAAAAAGATTATAACAGTAAAAAGATTATCTTCCATAAAAAATACTTTTGTTTTGAAGTCTGGAATCCACAGCTTACAACTGTCAAACTTAAAAGAACTTTCCTCACTAACAAGTTGTACCCCTTTTAAAAACCTTGTCACAGGAATGAAATACATACATGAGTAACACTTGGTGATCCCCTGCACAGTGTTGATAACAAACTGACAATGGTGGAAACTGATGTGCTATTGCTCTTGGAGTCAGGGGTGGCTCCATTGCCTCCTGTTTTGTCACCAGCAGCAACTGCAGCACTTGCTAGCCTGTCTAACAACTCACTGGTCAAACCATGTTCAGCTAATGGAGCTGGATCAACACCGCGGCGTGTAAACCGATCAGCAAGGGAAGCAAAGCATCGGAGAGCACCATCAGATACCTGCAGGGATCACCAACAAATGAAGCTTTCTTCTTAAGAATTGTAGGGGAGACACAGTGGTCTAATAAAGGGGATAAGTTTCTAAAAATGGTGCTGCGTTGGCGGGAGAGCATAACAGGGAAATTTAGTATTAACAACTGAGTTGATAATGAAAATTGGCCACTGTAAAGAGTTTTTAAGCCAAAAAAAAAAAAACTTTCATCTATTAACCAACTGTCATTTGTAACATTATCACCAACAAGATCTCAACATTGATTCTCCTAACTGTCTACTCTTGATTTCCTATAATGTTATGGGTAGTTCTGAGAATATGGTGCTGGATCAAATAACTAATATATTTTTTGTTATTCTCACTACTTGTCTGCTCAGTATTTTATTGATATTTAAGGGAAAAATTACACCTGTGTCACTCATGAAAGTGAAAGAGTTATATAACACAACTGTAAGAATCTGTCTGAACACTTATTACTTACATATGGGTCTTCATGTTTCAGTAAAGTTGAAAGCGACTTGACACAAGTTTCCAAGTTAGAATCTTGTGGCTCCATCCTTCCACATAACCTGGACACTACATTCATGGCTGAATGTAGAGTGTCCTTGTGCACAGAACTCCCAAACTCGCCAATAAATGTCAGTGAACACTGGAGACCCCCTGCCTCAAACACAGCTCCAGCCTCTCGAGTACATATAAGTTCCAGAACCTAAAGAGAAAAGCATAGAAATTTTTCGACTTGCATCTTACAAAAAGAAAAAGGCAGTTGGTTGATAGTAAAAGGGCACCAAGGTAACATTTTGCAAGACAACTTGAGAACAAGTTTCTAGAAAAATTTACTGCATGTGACAGTGAGAATGTTTGTGAAAACTTCTACCCCTGAAACAGAATTTGGGTTGTGAAAAAGATCATTGAAGTTGAAACTGGTTTGAATTAGTGCTGGTAAAAGAGCAGTGAGCAAATGAATTACTAGACTTGTTTTGGAAGCAGTAGCAGTCACACACAGAGCATTTTGTTGCAAAGCCCTTCACACCAGCATTTAACCTTATTGCAATCTGACCTAACCTCAAAATATCAATAAACTATTCTTAGTGAAATATGTCTTAACCCTTGATGAAAGTTCAGAATTTCAAACACTGGTGTAAAATATCTCCACGATCTCTTTAAACATTGTAAAGTAATACCAGTGCATGTGGAAAACAAATGTTTTTTTTTAAACTATTTATTTCAATTTAACACGAAATGATATAGCATATTAGTAATAGGGTTTCCTTTACGTAAGCGCAATGAACTTATTACCCTTCAGTTGTACAATGTAGCACAATCACACTGCATGTAGCTGAAGTTAATACTAATGTACAACAAAGCAATATGTAATTTTCTATCTTGACTTACTTTGACACACTGTTCTCCCAGATCTTTGCTAGTCCTTGATGATAAATCAACTACAACAAGTCGGCTACAGAGGGCCTTAATTGCTCCTTCCACCGCAACAATCCGTCTGGTGCATTCTGCTGACACATCAAGGTAGTAAGTGATAGCTCTTGCAGTTACTTCCAGTACATTTTCTGGTGCGCACTCATCCAAGAAGATACGACACAGAGCTGGTAGAAATGTTCGTGGTGGACAGCTGCAAAGGAAAAAGTGAAGTACATTAACTTAAAAAACCAACCAAAAAAGCACCTATGACTAAGAATTAAAACCTGACAGGTCCTGGACATCAGAAAGGTAAAGTCTGCATTTCAAACAAGTGAAATGTACAGGAAATATTGCCACTATTTCCTAAATAAGAAGCCAGCCCCATTCCAGGTGACCCTACTAACATTTGGTCAGATTTCCTGTGACCTGTTGATACTCTTAGCTGGACAGAGGCCTTGTGAGAGTGAAGTGTCTTACCCTTGAACACAACACAGTGACCCAGTCATGTCTCACATCTGGATCTCTTTACCTTAAGTTCACTGCATTAGAATGAAAGGTCTTTCAGAATGAAAGCTTGTGATAATTTTTTCTAATCAGATTGGCAGCCTTGCCAGAGCATATTTTGATAGTGTGGCACATTCCAAATTTCTGATGGGAACTACTTGAAATGACTTCCTGTCCAAGCTGGCAAAATATCACAAAGAAATCCAAAGGTACATCTCTATCTTTCACTATTTCCAATATTGCAGCAAACTCTTAACATTCAAGACAGTTCAATGAATTCTTACAAAACTCTTTCATTAGAGAATAACTGTACTAGACTAAAGGTGGTAAATATTAGAAGCCTTTAATTATCAGGAATATTTTTGGTATATAACACATTTTTAACTTTTGGAATGTTATGGGTTGTGGGCACATTAAACCACACCAAAATAGGTGTTCCTCGATAAGCTTCCCCACTCCTGAAATCCCCATCCTTCCTTTCATTCTTTGCCTCAAACTAATTACATTCACAGTTTACAGTTGTAAGAAGTGTAAAAGGTATGTGAGGCTGAATTTTTCCACTTGGGTCTAATATTTTTAGAAGAGGAAGGCCTTGATTTCAAGCAACCTTATGAAAATATACTTGAGATCGAAGTCAGATTTTTTCCTCCAGTGCCAATATAAGCAAAATAGACAACAGAACATTAGCTTTTCAGCACTCTTCGTTACGAAAAATATACTTATGTTTGCAACGTTAAGCCGAAGAAGGAAATTTAAATGATAAATGCCGTATATACACATCTTTCTAATTATAGTTAAATTAAGCAAATAAATGCTGTCCACTCTTTCATTATTTAATCACGTGAAAGGCCTTGGCCTTCAATTGAGATCATCGCCTCTTATGACACATTGTACCAATACAGTCTTTATGATCGTTTTATTGTCAACCAGACATCAAATAATTGCATATCGTTGCGAAATAAATCATCTAAAAACCCGTATTGATTAAAGAAAAAACTATTATAGGCATATGTATGATGATTTCTTGCGGAGTAATGAAGTTAATCCCTCGATAAAATCACCGAAACATGAGCTTTTTCCATTGTCAATTTCACGAATAAGTCATTTATATTAAAACTCATTATTTTACTTCTAAAAAGGCTCACGTAAGTAGTTTTCCCATGGTTTGGACTAAACAGTTAGCTATACTACACTAGTTAACGAAGAAATAGTAACGAAGGGTGATTACTGATTGCAAAACAAATTTTGCAGTTATAGTTTTCACTATCATTTACCAAAACTTAAAAGCTGTCGTACCTCTCAAAACACCGGTCGATGTTGTCCGACATCAGAAGTAACATACATAGTTGTTCCAACGCGATCAACTGCATGTCTCGTTCGTCGCCCTGTCCCATACTTAGCCATTCTAGCAGTGTGTCTGGATCGACGTCTACCATTTTCACAGACAGGGAAATAACAAAATGAAATAAAACTTTTCACGTAGGACAAAGGTCCAAAACTAAGGCGATCGACGTCTTCGCTTTCGAGTGAGAAGAATATTCAACTTTGTTGTCAACACGTGAAAAAGTGTGTTCGTTCTGTAGTATTTTTCCAGCGGATTACTTGTCAGTGAAGCTCAAAAACAACACGAATTGTCGTCGATACTTCGTGTCACGGAAATGCACTCAACCTTTTACACGGTGACTCCTCGTGTTTCCTGCCGTATGCCGACAAATATTTCTTCTCAATTAGGAATTACAACGCGTAATAAACCCCGCCATCAAGCCTTCTACCACGTAAAAGGAAACTGTGTTGCTTCGAAAACATCTAATGCCGAAAATAGTGGATCATTACAGCCCACATAGCGCTTAAACTTTAACTCGTTATTCGTTCTTATTAATGTAATGTTGTCAGATACACTTTCGCACAAACAAAATCTCTAGCCTCTTTTAGAAGTCGAATAAACGCGCGGAGATTGGGACTTAGTAGATCCCAGTTCCCTACAGGCAAGTTCTTAGGTTGTGTGTGACAACTGATAACGTTTCGGAAGAACTGTGTTTTGTGGCTGAAATTTGTCCAAATGGAACCGAGTTTGGATTGTAGAACTCCTCCAACATCACCAGAGCTAAGCCGTTTAAAGACCAAGCGTCGATGCCCATTTGGAGAGTCTCCTCAACCTTTGAAGGTCCCGGCGTCTGAAAGCGTAATGGCGCGCGATGACAGTTCCACACGTACAACTGATCAAAGTTCCACGTCAATCACTGGTACGCACTAAAAGACAATATTTTTAAAAAAACTTGTGGCCTAGGATGGATAACTCGAAGAAAATGATCGCATTAGTTTTAAACCATTTAATTTTAACTTGTAACTTGTCTTGCTTTCTTTTCGCTTCCCGATTTCACTTGGAAAGCGAAGGAGAGCCTTCGCTTAGAAGATTTCCGTATAACCCTGCACTCTTCGTAACAAAGCTGTAGTCCTAAAGGTAATATCGTTTTTTCGCCGTTTTTCCCTTTATCCAAGAACTGTATGCATAATAAAATACGGGGCTCAGCTGTGCAGAAATTTTGCCTAGTGCTTTGGTATTTGCACTTCCCCCCTTCCCTAAATGACAAAATTTGGGGATTTTGGAGTTGGTAAGTACTATGTAGTACGTTCCTTTAGGGTGGTTTTATCGAATATCTTGAATTTGATTCTGCTTACTCACAAATTAACTTGTGTGTTTTTAAGTAGAGCCATTTCTGGAATACAACCAAAGATCACTCTTTAAATATGGTACCTTTCAGCTTGTGCATTTGAGGTGCTCATGAACAGCCAGAGAAGTCAAAGGGATGCTGTCCATACTTCTCCACTACAACCAGCTGTGACTAGTTCTTCCTGTCAATGTTGGATTTGTCACCATTATGGTGATTCTATGCCATGTGCATTCTGTGAACACAGTGTTTGTGAGATGTGTGTGCGTCAATGTGACAGATGCTTTGGAGTATTCTGTGCTTTCTGCTCCACTATCAACTATGATAATCATGAAGAGCGTCCTTTGTGTCTAACTTGTCACCATGAGGAGCTGCGCTGGCAGCAAAACAGAGCAGCCCAAGTAGTACAGCAATCAGGAACTTGGGAAAGGCCAGGGATGGAGGTCTACAGGCCACTTATGGCATAGCACATCACATACACACTGCTTTGTAACATACATGTATATACCACGGACTTTCTACCGGTTTTATCGTTGAAGACCCTTACTTGGAAGAGCAATTTTTGTTACCAGTAACCTAACATCGGTATGTACATTCTCCATACTTTTCTCTATACATTTCCTGAGGTGCTGACAAGAAGAATTTGATTGAAGTGCTGGTGATCATTTCCTTTATTCTCATGACCTTCATGTTTGATTCAGGGGTGATATTGTAAGGAGAAATTAGATGCTGGTCACTCTTAAGGGTTAAAGGGTTAAGTTTATGTTTATTTGTGAAATTCATATCCCTTAACCCTTTAACTCCCAGAAGTGATGTTTTAACCTGTAACTTCTCCCAACAATATTCATACATTATCCATCAAACAGGTAATGAGAATACTTAAACTTATCAGGTTGAAGTTGTTATCTTGATTTAAAACCAAATTCTTGTAACTATTTTACAAGGAAATGTGTAGCAGCTAGAGGGGAGAATTAACAATCAGATCTGGGAGTTAAAGGGTTACTGGTAATCCTTTCACTTCAGTGAGAGGAGATAGTCCTCAGCATTGACTGGCTAGAACTCTGTGTAAGCTTTTATACACACTAAGTTGCATAAAGGTTGTTACCTAAAAAGCCTTTGCAATGAATGATGAGACCCCCCCCCCCTACACCTATATGGGTCAGATGTTAATAATCACCACCATTAGTTGCATGTGGTGAATGATGGAAGCTATCCAAACTTTGCTGGAAGAAAAGGGTTTTCATCAAAAAATATTTTCCATGAATGAGAAGAGAAGTGAATATTAGAGGCTTCAAAATCCCCCTGGCAACTGAACTTTTGAAGATTGGTTTGTTCAAATTCCCCCCCCCTCCTGACCTGGGGAAAAAATTGTGTTCAAATGCCCCAACCATCCTAAAGCTTGTATTCTGCTTGAGAGATTTGGCACCTCCTTTTCAATTCCCCACCCCAGCCTGGAAAGGTTCAAATTCCTCACCCCATGGGCACAGTTAAATGCCCATGGCTTGCCTGGGGAGGGGGATATTAAAGCTTTGAATTGAATAGGACACTGTATGTGAACATTTCCCATAAAGCTGTTGGGTCTCATCATTCATAGAACATGCTATTCAGGTGCCAATTTTTTTGCATTTCAGTGTATGTTTTTGTATATGTTTAGCATTTGCCATGTCACCAGTATTTTCTAAAGGTAAAGTAAGTATTGATGAAAAATTTGGCAGACAAGGCTGTAGCATTTATTATTAACGTGAAAGTATTTTCCCATAGGGCTTTTATTCAAAGGTTGAACTTATTTAAAAAAATCACATTTATTAAATCCCTGTCAACAATAATGTAAATATCATGTTGAATATGAACATGTTTTAAATTCCAATGTTTCACTTTCTTTGTTATGGTAGATATGTATTTACTTGTTGCTGGCTTGTGATATGTGCAGCAAGGGTTGTGTGGATGACTGAGTTGTACCATACCTCACCTTGGCCAATGAAAACACGTGGTTCTGTTTTGCCAGCCATATTGTAAATTTAAGAAGGATCAGCTATTCGCGCTACTATACAATTTTAGTATTAACCGTCTTAGCTTGCGTGGCCGGCATACAAAAGTGAACAGAGCAGGGGGACGTTTCTGTAAGCTCGAAGCGCCATCGTAATGATTTTTGAGGCAACTAGATCCTCGCGATTGCACTCTATGCGCGCCTAAACATCCCCCACTCAACCTTTCTTCGCCGGCTATGATCAACTTGACATAGGATTGTCATGAATATCATAACAATAACCAAGGGTAACTGTGTAATAAGGATGTTTTTGGGCATGGTACTTTGTTTTCCACCCAGGATTACAAAAAATCTGCAACCTTACCTTCCCAAGTCACACTGTACATTGATATGTTCAAGAAAATCAGGAAGCGAAGACAATGCTTAAACTGCAAAGATAACCTAACCATGATTGAAATTCTCAGAAAGAGACCCCTAGATACCCCTCTGCTCTAATAATCAAGTCAAATACAACCGATCTTATCCACTGTTAGAAGTCAAACAGTTTATTCGAGTGAATCAGTATAATATCCTCAAAACCAACACGTTAAGAACACAATTTAACTCACAGCGAAAATGCGCGGGATCTTCTGTATGCATTGAACCTATGAGGAAAAATGTCCCTTTCTCAATTATTCTCTTGGCTTAGTACGCGTATTAATATTTGACACTGGAAGTCAACATATGTACTCTAAGATTTAGAAAGGAAGCCATCCTAGATCATCTCCAACTCTCTGATGTAACGGTCTCGATATATATACCAATTAGGGCTCTTGACTGAGGAGTTAACAGAAAACTTGAAGTTCGAGACCGCGGGAGAATGACGTCCTCGTTCGATTATCACGTGATCATTGTTGATTCAGTTTCCAATAATGATCACTAATGATGAGTGTGCTTGATCGAAAAAACATCACAATGGTAAACGGCGTAATCGGACCAAAAATAGGGCAGAGATGGTCTGGAATGGAGGAGATTGTCATAGATTGGGAAACAGTCTACTTGACAAATGTTTCAAGATGTACGAAGTCTGTTTTCTTTGAATGCACGAAAAAGTCGTGCACTTTAGCATACCCTTGCAAATTAATGCGTCATGGTCAATTGGATTTTTGATGGTCAGTTCCGCGACATATTGTTTCTTATAACCTCGTGTAAATCACGAGACAAGACCTCTTATTTGCGAGTTTTATAATTAGTTACATAAGTAAGCTTCCTTGAAAACAAATCTGCTCACAATTGTTTTAGCTACCGACAAGTTAGATCCCTGCATCCTCCCGAGCACTTGACTGAGGGATGAAACAAGGTAATTAGTACTTCCAAATTTTTGGCTATTTTGATTTTTGTACTCAACAAAACTTCCTTTATTTAAAAGGACACTGCACGTGTTAGTTCGGAAAGATAGAACAACACAAGAACTAGTGGATAAACAAAGAATAAGCAACTTGGCAAAGGATTCCAACGGTTAAGGATAACTAAGGTTATTTATGATTTGAACGGAGTGCAAAAGACAACTTGAAATATTTGGGCTATGTTTTTATTCGAGAATGGTACCGTTATTTCAAAAGCACATCTCCGGACCCTTTCACCCCCAAGATCTCATAAGTAATTCTCCTTACTTTCTACCATACAATCTTATGATATTCAGTCTGAGAATTTGGTATTGGATCAACTAACTGATATTTTTCTTTATTCTCATCACTTATCTTCTTGATATTGTATTGAAGTTGTCTTGGTCACTCATAGAAGTGAAAGAGTCAAATCAGTTATATAAACCAAGTTTCGAACTCTTTCTTCAAACGATTTGGGTGGATTATGCGTGACCACAATCCGGCTTACTTCTCATCACGCCTTTAGAAAAACAAGTTAAAAAGCATAGACAAAAAAGTTTTTTCCAGCCAAAATTCTCAGAATTGTTATGTAAATATTGGCAGCTTGAATTACATAACCTGAATAAAGGTTAGTTTATTACTCATCAAGTACAAGACGATTATGCTCATACGGATAAATATATATTTTTGATAATTTTAAAAACGGCAGTGCCATATGCTTTTTCAGTAATCGCAGAGCTAATTTAATTTTCACTTGTGTTTCGATCCAAAGGCCTTGTTATTGTCGAATCGAAAGAACACACTTCGATAACTGCCTCCAAAAAAATAAGTGATGTAATGTTTAAATATAGATAAAAAAGATACTTTCTTTACTTAGTCCAATGAGGTCTCGTGGTTAGCCGGGCCATGTTATCCGAGCTTCGCTAATTAAAGATATTAATTATTATGAGGACTTGACTTTGATGGCACAATATCTTTAAAAGGTTTTACTTAGAGCTTTCCTCTTCGAGTTATCAATTTTGGCGCAAGAAGTAGGGAGGCATCTAAATGTTTTTCTTTTCTTTAGGTAGATTTTTTCCGAATAATGACAACAAGAGCACCCTTTTGTCTTCAAAGAATGAGATGTAGAAATTATCATTTTTATTGTACTGTTTGACGAACTGTAGCAGTTTTTAGCATAACTACTTCCCAGTCTCTCTCTTTCTCTTCGTGCTCCTTCCTATTTGGAATATCCATCCACAATAATGAAACTATCTTCCGCAAATTCAACGTCTCTCTGAAGCATAAATGAAGGATCTATTCAATTTAAGTAAAAAAAAAAGACTCGTTAAAGTTTACCACAAAGACGGCGAGTAACTGATTTTTGAAATATGGAAGACCAATTCCGCAAGTTGAACTCTACAACAAACTATCGAAAAAAAAGTCTTGACAAAAATAAATTTAATTCAGCAAGAAAAATCGTATGGGACATTTTTGTCATTGCACAAGGACTCAGAACTTGAAAGGAACTCATAATTGAATAGATTACCAGTAATACTTAACGGAAATTTAAGTCGAGGTTGCTGAAAAAATTTTTGATGCGGATGTTGTAATATTGACTTTGTGGTATGTTGTATTGCTTGAGAGGTGAGCGGGGCAATTAAATCTTTTCACGTTAAAATTTAGAAGATAGAACGTGTCATATGATACTCCGCTCGAAAATGTTATCAAATTACCATATAAATGATAGTTTTAAGCTCCCATTGGGTTTTGAAAGCTTGTAAATCGTAACATTTCCATAAATAAAACTGATCGAAATGACTCCCTGATAGAATGTCACGTTTTCTTATATTCTGTCTAATTTGGTTCTCAAAGACTGATTAAGCATTAAAACAGAAAAGGAAAAGGCTTAGCTTGAAACAAAATTGAGATTTCCGATTTCTTCATCAAAATTTGCTGTTCGTGAACAAATAATAGGAAATGACGTAACCTGAGCATTCATCATGTTCTAATTAGAAGGAGATAAACAAACATTTTTTAGAAATTTCATAAGAGCTTTTTAAATCCCATTGGGAAAAAAGCCTCAATGAAGAACTGTGTATGGCGTATTTAGAGCAAGTGACACAATGTTGTCGAATATTAATTAGAAATCGGTTGGCACTCAAAAGACTCATGAGCTTGAAGAAGTCTAAGAACGCGTCTTCTCTTCGTACTAAGTGAATTGCCAGAATTTATACAGACTTCGCACTAAAAAGAATATTTCCTTTTCCCTTCATCTCAGAGGGAAAAATTCGAAGTTATGCAAAATACGCAAGGCATCCAAAACTAACTGGTATGACATCATTGGTTTCCGAGAAATATTTGATCATTTTCTGAGAATTGATTATTGTCGAGTCAGCAAAAATACTCAAGCACGTATCAGAAATATAACTTCCTCTTGATTGGTTGTTAACTCAATCACTTAACGAGCGTCATTTGCGTGCTGACATTTTCATTTTGTTCCTGGCAAGTTCATCGAGTGAGCCTAATTTAGAGGTAAGAATTCTAAGTGTACAATCCATGAGAGAATCATTAGCACCTTGGTTTGGGAAATATTCAAATTTTTTAACGAAAATGTTTAACAAACAATTCTTGGATGAGGTTTTTGTGAAATCCAGAATAATTAAGGTCGAGGTAGGGGTTATCAGCGTTAGCCTTCGGCTTGGGCTGATAACCCCTACCGAGACGTTGATTATTCTGGATATCACAAAAACTGAAGCTAGTAATTGTTTTATTATACATTGAACAAAAAAGAAAAAAAAAAAAAAAAGAATGGTCACGACAGTATGAGGAACTGATAATTGATTTATAAACGTATGAAAAAAAAATTTTTATAGAAATCAACAAGCAACACAAGGCGCGCGAACTTGGCATGGTTACCCTGAGGAATCATGCACAGCGGTCATACATGAGTGTTCTTGACATGATTATTGAATCCTGCTACATGAAGTCCTAGGTACTTATTTAAAAAAATTCACCATACGCTTCAACAATTATTGTTAGGTGATTCTTTATATTTTGGATTCGATACCATGATATCTTGCTTGGGGATAGTTCAGTTTAAACAGTATGGATGATCTATAGCTCAAACCAAAGGTGACACTAGTTGTTACTTAAACAAATGTTCTCAACTATTAAAATGCTTTCGTAAAATTATTTTTTCTTGCATAACTAGTTGATATCCTTCTTCAATCACAGCGAGAAACTGCAGGGTTTCACTGCTATTCTTTTCCTCTTGCTGCTCTGAGTCTTTATCAAATATATCATTCTTAATATTTTTCAAACACCATTTAGACCAGACCTTTGAAGTAATGAGAATTCGAAAAATGTTTCGTCAATTCGACCTTATGTAAAACCAAATTCTCATTAGCCACCAGCAAACAAATATGTGGAAATTAGTAAGAAGGATAAGCCCTTAGATCTTGATAGCGAAAGGGCTTAGCGCATATTGAAAACCTGCATGTTTAGTAACTAAGCCGGCCTCTTCTTCTTGGTTCTCGATTTCCATCTTGCTTTCTGTGTCTGGTGGTTGGAAGGAAAAAAGGGAAAATTGTGCTATTGAGAGATATACCCCTTGCATTTACATTTAGTTTATACAAAATTAGAAACAGGGTTTGATTCTTTAGACTTGAGTCAGTATTTTTCAAGGATTATCGGATAGTCCGCGAATAGCAAACTGATAAAAAAGTTGTTGGGCAAGCTTAAGTATGTCCCGTTGTTGAGTACTGGTTTCCTTTCTTTAGGGGCTGGGTACTTTCTGGAAAAATGTGTTAAATATAGCAGATTTTTGAGGCTCTTGTTCGAGTCTATTTTTGCCTTTATAACTGAAATTATATTTATACTTTTCCTGTTACATTTCCTTCAGTACTGACCAGGAGAATTCGTCTAACAAGCAAAGTTTCTTAGGTAGGCGATCATTTCTTTTATATTTTGGTTATTCTTTAAAGGGTTGATCATGATCGGGCCAAAAATACGGGCGCATTGAAATAGTAAAAAAAAAAGAGATATTTCTCCATGCGCTGTGACTTAGCTAAGAGACAGCATATCACTCGGTTTACCTTTATCCTCGATGACTAAATCGCCGATGCATTTATTTCCGTCGGCTGCTTCTTTTCATGATCCATCAAGACAATAATATTTTTGTTAAAATCCCAACAACTTCTTTTCTGGCAAGGCAATGCACAGACTTGCTTCGGAAAGAAACTTTCATTACGGAAAAATTAACAAATGCAGCGAGCGAAGCATATGCAACACACTCAAAACTGCTGACACTTAATTGATGCGTAGGAGCTGATCCATGAAACAGCTTAGCGTGGCAGTCGCCTGAGTAGTTAATGAAGCGAAACAAGTTGTTCCGTTTCTAAAATGAACAACGTTTTGTTTTGTTTTCTTCGCTAAGTGCACATGGACAAAAATTTTAAGAATGAAATAGAAGGTTCTCCTCGAATTCCACCTGTCGGGTGTTACGTACAGTTATGACGTGCGAACGTTTGCAGCTAATGCAAAGCACTTGTCTTCGCATGATTAGTTAAAAAGATCCCTTCTATAAATAATTTCATTTGTGGGTAGGACGAATTAAGACTGTTTCCTATGGATTTAAGCAAGGCTTACGCTCGGAATAGATGTAGAAGATTAGAGATGAGTGACCCAAAGGAAAAAACAGAAGAGAGTAAAAAGCTGTCACAAACAACTTTTGATACGACGCAAGAACAATTTAAAACTAGAAATGGGAACAAAAACTCCTCCAGAAACAGGAATAAAATTAGTTCTTAAGACAAACAGCATTATGTGCATGCTTGTCTTTAAAGGCAACAGAAACCCACGCAAGAAACTGACGTAATTATTGCGTTGGATTATTAATTTCTTTTGCCTTATTACCTACTGCTTAGTATCAGTGAAAGGTGTAGCCCTTCCTTTTTTTCCTCCTACGCCAAATTGTTAAGAATCTCCGCATATAAGTTGCTGGAGGCCGTTGCAGTCAGATTAACAAACTGGAAGATGGGATTTGATATTGCTGATGACGTTGTTTTACACTGATAGCTTGGAGAACGGAAGATTTTAATCTATCAATGTCTTCCCCTCGGGTTGACAGTCACTAATACTGATAACAATCCTTTTCGGAACTGCCCTCATTTTGATGCTCACACTACACGTTTCGATAGTTATCGACCGTTGCTTTTCTGTTCCTACTTTTCAATAAATATTCGACTGAGTTACATGTTTGAAGACGAATCTTCGCATATTTTTTCCCCGATGATTTGAGGGGAAAATTTAGTGCGACTTATGTTATAGGTGCCTCAATCGATGTGCTTTGTAACTTTGAAGTAATTTAACATAATCATTAGGAACTTCGAATTTTAAAAAGGCAAATGCTTTTCTTCTAAACCCCAAACCGAAGATAGGCGAGTGAAACTTTTAAACAAGGATCCGGTGACGCAAGAGAACAAAACGTGGGAGAGCGATAAAATTTTTGCTATGTTCGAAACGATAATTGCTTCATAATTGTAATATACGACACGTTTTGTGGTTGTCTGGTATGCCACTGAGTCGTATTAGCAATTGAAGTGCGCACCCACTCATGAATGTCATGAATCCGGCAATGGATAAGTTGTTCGGTCAAATAAAGTAAAGTGCCAAATGAACCGTTGTTGATTCAATGTAAAGTTTATTTTTACCCTTCTCATTGCGAAGCACGGGCTCGCAATATATTCATCATTCCTCAAATCGAAGATTCTTAGAGTTATGTGTGAAAAAGGAAGTTATGGTAATGGACGATAATAAAATCATTAAGGATGTGATCAGGATCTCTAAATTATCAGCAAACATTCTTTGTGTGGCTGGAGACTATGAGACTACATGCAACTTTGACTTGAACTTTCGAAACTTATCCATTGATCAAACACGTGTTCATTTCCGTAAAATTACAGCTGGAACAACTGAGCTGTACTGAGTCAGCTAGATAAAACTCTGCCGCACTTGCATCAGATCCACGATTTTAGCAAAATCGCACAACTGCAATATTTAGATATTTCGCCTCATTCTATATATAGAATTTTGAGCATGATGTTATCACCCTGAAAGAGTCCTTTAAAGCATGCAGGTGGACTTTACCCTCTGACCCAAAAAGTCCCACCCCACTTCCGGTCAAAAGCGTGACTGAAAGCCGGAAATGCAGTTTTATATTTGCATCTTTGGGTTTCAATCGCTGAAACACTTTTTCTCTTTGTTGTCAGGATTCTGAATAATAATTTCCTTAGCGATATTGATCCAATTTCACCAAGAGGAGATTTGTTGCGGCTACTTTAGAGTTGGAGAGTTTGATGTAGACTTTGAATTCAGACCCTGGTTTAACTTGTCACGCACAATTTGAAAATCTTCCTAGGTCAACTCAAAGGATTTAAAGAGCCAGTTTATTGATTATTCGTTTAAACACAGCAGATGTTACGGATAGGTGTTACCTTCATCTGTGAACTTTACAGCATCGCTTAGAGTCTGCATGCAATTATATCTTTTCCCCGCCGGATTTGTTTCCCAATCGATGTCCAGTTCTATGGAGTAAGTTGTGGTTGGATATTAAATCAAAGATCAATGATGCTAAAGTATTTTAGAATATCAGAAAGACTTGAGCACGTGTCTACTCTAGCTAGAAAAAAAGGGACGTAGACGTTTATACAACTCACGATGCCAAGAATATAGGATTCGTCTGAGATCCTCTTAAACAGTATAGCTGCTATCAAGCAATTAACGTCTCCTCTCAAAGCAGTTAAGATCTTGAGGCAGTTATGAGTTTTCGCGTGATAGTTTGGACTTTTTCGCAGTGTTTTCAAGTGAGAGCGAAAACTTAAGATATTAAAATGACTCTGCAAACATTTAAGAGAAAGTTAAAACATTTCTATGAAGTATAAATTGTGATGTTTGTAACGGCCAAGGTTTCCCATTTTAGAGAGAACGTAAAATACGACCCTCGCTTTAAAAGTTTTATTGCAAAATCAACAGTGCTCGGAAAAGTACATGCATGTGGACACGAGTGGTTGCTGCTATCTATCATGTGATTGCACCGAGTAATTGATTCTCTGTTTACGTCATATTAGTAACGGTGATGAACCTCTCGTGATGCGAACTTCAGGTATCACAAACAAGTACCTTCGTCATTCGTGTAATTTATTTGCTGATTAGTAGCTTATGCACGTAAGGGATTCTATCAGTGACGTGAATTTTGAAACTGCGAGAAAAATGAAATGTCGAATGAGCTGGATTCCCTAAATGTTGTGTGTCACGCTCACTACCTTTTCAATTCAGCAGTCATTCGTTTTAAATATACCATTCTTCCTGAGTCTCTGCCAACTTGTATCCCTGTCATGTGAGTTTTATTGACGTTGAAACGAACAATGCAATTTAGCCAAATACTATCAAATATACAATTGCGTAAGCAAGAAAAATTATCAACATCATTCGGCGCAGAAAGCCACGTCAAGCTATTTAAAATATTTCGAAACAACTTACGGCGCTGTGACCTTGCACTTGACATAGGTAATCTGACCCAATCGCTTGCGCTGGAACGGCTCGTTTCAGAAGCTGCAACCGTTGCCTATTAACATGAAACCATTAGATTAATATATCTGACGTCCTTCTACGACTGAGATTATGTGATTTAAAGGATATTACATTTGAACTGAAAGGCGCTCAGTTGTGCCTTTGACTTCTATTATGGGAAATCTTCTTCCTTAAAATGAATGGCACTGAATCAAATAAAAGGTGATAACTCAAGCAAATAGTAGAAACTGAAGACCAAGGCTAAATTCAGAGAATCCTTTATTTGAAGTGAAGTTGTTTCACTGCTTGCGTTTCTGCACGTTCCTATCCTAATCTCTTAGTCCAATTGCCGTTCGGTAGGAGGGATTTTACAACGTCAAGTTAAAAAAAAGCACGTAGGTCGGGCTGCACTTGACTCTTTTTGGCAAGATTCAGACGTAAGTATGTAAAGAGATTAGGATGTTGACTAATTATGGCATGACTCGATCTCTGTGTAACGAGCTTACGAAATTACTCCTCAGAATTGAGAATTGCAAACGGCAGTCAGTAGTCTCTAATCTGTTGTAGTCATTCTAAGAGCTGCGTCATTCGACAAACTAAATGAAAGGAAATATTTCTGCTGCTAGCTTGAGGACCTCAAAACTGAAAAATTTAGCCTTAGTTTGTAATTTGAAATACAAGTTAGTCTGTTCTTTCGTTTGCCATCTTTAATCACTTCCGGTTCACTGTTCTCATTGCGGTGTTTTATATCTCTTCAAACTAGTATCAAATTTGTTCAAGTTGAGGGTAACAATCTTATGAGAAGTTGTTGCCTTACAGTTTTAAAGCAAAGAACCACGACTTCCTATTTCGGAAAGAGAAATTTTTAGCTTGTTCTCTGGTTAACTTTCGGTTCTCCGCGCAAACTTCAGCATAAAAATTACAAAGGCCGTGTTTATGACGTCAGAGGAGTGCTCGCTCTATAAACACAAACTAAAGCGTTACAAAATGCGAAGGCCGTGTTTGGTGACATCTGAAGAGGGGATCAAAAGACGAATTTTTCAATGCGATGATAGCATACTGTCGTCACATACTTGCAGATATAGCGGTTAAAGTTTGGTTTACTTGAACAAATGAATCACAACGTTATCACTGAAGCATGGACCCGAACCAAAAGATTACATGAACATGCTCAGAGATCTTTAGTTCAGTATTTTAACACAGCCGTATTCTTTTGTAAATTTTTGCATGTTTGCTATGGCAAGAAATATGGCAGATACAATTCTGCAGATGTGTGTTTTTTTTAAGAGACTGAATTTTGGAAACGTTTCTAATGGCAAAGATTAGTTTTGCGTAAACTTCAGACTGTTTTTTAAGCATGATAGGGAACACAATTTGATTTGTTTGTAAGTGAAAATTGATGCTATGATCGTATATTAAACTGTGGCTCTCTGTGCCACTGTCATAGAAAATTTTGATGGACAGCTTTCATGATCATCAAACAACTGCGGAACAGCATCATGCAACTAGATTAGTTTGTAAGATTGGCTTTGAAATCAATGGTTATTTTCCATTTAATTCAAAATCCATTGCGAAGATGACGGGAATCCTTATTAAAGGACAGCAAGCTGAAGAGCATGAGAAACCGAACGTTTCATTAACTCAAACATGTTCCTGAATGCGTTTATACACTTTGTCCACCGGAAGGAAATTTTAAATTTACTGTAAACCACAAATAGTGCGGCGGAAAAAATGATCTTTGCTCTGTGGTATGCATGTTTTGATAATCGATTTTTCCCCAATACGTGCTGTGCAGTGTTCTGCCCAGAACTGAAGTAAAACTATAATAATGATCAGTTTATTCTGAAGTGCTTTCTAGTGTTAATTAACTCGATAAAAGCTGTTGAAGAAACCTAAAGAAATTTTAAATCACGCCCTCATCTATTAGCCTCGAAAATAAAATGGTATGTTTTCGGTTACGGTCTTATTTTCTAAAACGTTTACTTTGCCGCCTTCGCTGGTTGAAAAGAACTGTTTTGACCACAGAATAACTTCCTGTTTCTAGACGGACAATTTGGAAACTCGTGATCAAAGGACAGGAAATAACAAAACAAAACTGGGCATCAAGGCTCTAAACGTGGGAAAAAAAAAACGAATTAAAAGTTTCCTTTACCGCCCACATATTATTGTACACAGAACTAGACAAGGTCATTTATCGGTATTAACTGGGCAAATTGATCTCGGAATTGAGGTATTGTTAAAGGTTTTTGAGTTCATGTTGACATCTTGATAGTACAGATCTTTTACACCCAGATATGTTGATTTAAGGAAAAAAAAACCTCTATCTTAGCCTGAAGGAACATTCAAAGGTTGTTATTTAGTGTGCGCAAAGCATCCTGAACTTGAATGGGTTGAACTGCCATTAATTCGTGTTCCGCAATTTTTTTCCTCGTTTACTGGGAAAACATGCCCTGATGAATTGCGGTCTAATCAGCTGAAAACATACTTAGGCACGTATCCTATACATCCCTACATTTTTGAGTACTTTAAGTTGTAACTCAAGTCTTCTAGTTTAAGTAGATGAGAAGTCGTTTATTGCATGAGCTCAGAGTCCTTTTAAGGTATGGTTTGCGTCAAAGGAGACTTTTTAAGAGCACAAATTTACAATCGGGCATTTTTACCTGTATACTCCTAAATCTATAAATAGCTTTCTGCAACTGAAGCTTAGATAGGAATTTTTCTGATGAAACGTTCAAAAGTGATTTGACTCTAAACTTTATTTCATCGACAGGACTCCGTTCTTGGAAATAACTCGGTTTTGATTATATGACTGGGGATTTGTGCTCCAAACTGAAGGTACCGCTTGAGGTTGCTGATAAAATTTTGTTCTTCTTGCTTTTTGTTCAGTTTAACATTCCGTGCACAACATTTTCCGTTTTTAAAACATTTTTCAAACCAGTTGTGCCATGTTTCTCCAAGTTCCCCCGCCGAACGTTATTTCGAGTATTACTAAGGTCAGAGAAAGCAAGACAAATCTTTATTTAAAGTATGTTGTTAAACTTCACCATTAATTTTAGAGGCTTGTTTTCTCAAAAACACCTTTTGTTTTTTTACCTGTTGGTTGATTTATTTTGGGGAACAAGAGAAACTTTAAACGATTGACATTCCCTCCAACCGACAGTCAAAGTTAGATTGCAGGCAGCTTTGGTCTGGTACAACTGTGAATATCCGACGGACACCAAAATGTTCTTAGAGAGCTTAACTTGTTCCAAAAAATCTTAAAAGGAAGGACTCAAAAAAAATTTGAAGCATATGATTCAAGTTTCTCTGGTGCATTGTTTCTCTTGATGTATTAATTGAAGCAGCCACGTGTAAGTTTGAGGTTGGAGTTTTATTGCCTGGGACGTAAAACCTTATTTCATCCTTCGCTCTGTACAAACTTGTAAAAAAACTGCTTGGTTTCGTGCGAAGATAAGCATAGAAAGCACGTTAGGTTTCACGATTTCCAATATAGCTGCAGGAGGAACCTTGATGTAGCGAAGAACGAGGAATTTGGAAAAATGAGTTTGTTATGTCAGGGGGTTTCGACATAGTTTGGTATCGTTGGCTCCAAAAATATGTCGTCCATCATTCTTGCGTACTTCTTTACTGTTATGAACTTTGCTCTTAAACCACTACGTTTGAAACCTGTAAGGTGAACCCAATGTTTTTCTGTCTATGCCTGGAGTCATTGACAGCCTAATCTTTTAATTTAAACGCCCTGAGTCTTATTATTTTGCTTTGCACCCCGTTCTTATCATGATAATAAAGCTAATCTTTAATATTGGTCTGTGATGACGAGGTTATACTCAAAGTTTTGTTGTATGACGCACATGGTGATGTTATTAATTCTGTTACAGAAACAAAACTGGTGCCAGGAAAAATGTGCATATGCAATTATAGTACTCAATTACGATCATCCACTTCTTTCACAGTGCCGCGTTTTTGATCAAATATTAGTCGGAATACCGTAAATTATAACCGGGGAAAGGTCAGAAGGGCTTTTGCCTTTGGCCTCGATACCTTGCGCATTTTAGGAATGTCGAATTAGGATAATTTATATAAACGTTTTATTTTACATCTGTTTGGTTCGTTTTTCTCTTCATCATATGTGTGCTTAATCCATTGATTTACATCTATTTGATTATAACAATCTCACAACAGCTTGAGCGTTAGTGAAGTAAACTTACTCAGCGGTCCACTTGTAATGATTGTTCAAAAGCGTATTGGTTGATAAGTGACTTAAATTTAATGGCTCTCGCCTGTGTAACTAATGAACCGAAACATGCCGTAATTTTACTAAAATAAAAGCCCTAGCGATCGGTTTTGTTTACGTACTAAGCGCATCAATGGAATCATAGAAATTTCGAAAATCGAAAGAACTTCAATGTAAAATTACCTGTCGCTTAGCATAAGCCTCTATGACGCAAATAAGTCCATCTCTATTTGCGAGGCACCTATGTTAGCGAACTTGACATGGACTGCTTAATTTATGGAACGTAGAATCACAGAAAGTTGAATATTTAAAATGCAGCTTGAAATCTCACTCAAGGGGGCGAAGGCGAATCCATACGAAAGTTTCAGCCGAATTAGATATTCCTCTTAAACTGTAACTTCTAAGACTGATGATCTTTGGCACCAAATGAAACCAGGAGAAAGTGAAAAACTGTCACAAACAAAGTTTTTTCAGTTGTGACGCAAGCAGATTTCATAGCAGCCGGCCGCTAAAATTATAACAAACACGGGTACCCTTGAATGACCTTTGCGTTCAGTTACGCGTAAATGAACTACTGTTAAACTGAAACGCTGCTTGTAGTGGTAAAAAACACCCACGCAACAAAATGCAATTATGACGATTATCTTCCTTCATCGTTAATTAAATTCTTTTCCGTGTGGGAAGAGATGCGCTCAGCGAACATTTCAGGTGAGGTCATCGTGATTCTCTTAAAATATGTTTTGGGAGCCCTATTTTTTTATCTATTTTAAGATATCGAAGAAAATGTCTCGTAAATTTGTGCTCCAAGTTGACTGAAAATGGCTGAGCGAGTTTTTACTCTGGCCTCCCCGGGCGTTCTTTAATTCATTTTGGAGAGCGAAGTGCAAGATTTTAACCAGTGGTAAAAAACAAAATAATTCTGCTAGGTCGAAGAAGTAAGATGCCGAAGTTTATCACGTATCAAACCGTAAAAACGAGCTATGTTCTGCTTACGCTGATATTGGACCGGCATGTGGTTTTTATTCCCCGTTTTGAGATCGCGATTACTTTAGAACGAATGTCGTATAAACTTGCCGAAGTTTCATACTTGTGTGACTAGAAACGAAAAACCTTCTGAAATAGCCGGCTATGTCACGCATTATGCGTTTAGACCTTATCTTCCAAGCTAAGTTTGTCATTTGTAATCTGATTCAATCTTCTTCATTCTTTGCCATCCGTGTTTCTTCTTCATTTATCAATGCCAGTCTTGCTTTTTCCTATCGTACCAGAATAATTCATCATGGTGTTACTACAACGAATGCACTTATTTTTGGTGCAAAATATGACGATAATTATCGCTTTCAGCGAGCACGACACAGCAAGATACACCGCATACGCTTCATTCCAATGCATTCAGTGCCCAAAATAAAATAATCGCCTAACAACAGCCATAAACATTGTTTGAGGCTATTTGTAGAGAACTGATCAACAGCGTTGCGTTAAGGAATGATCTCGATTCCAGCCCACGTGTACTTCAAAGTGATAAAACGATGGCAAAAAGGCGGAAATTAACTCTCTTGTCTGCCCTTGGTTTCTGTTGTAATTGTTATATTCCCACCGTAAACGACATTAAACGATAATTTTCTTTGCTTGCGCGTCATATTGAAAAGATTCGGTGTTATGGGAAGAGCATATCGTTCAGTGCATAAACAATTTTATTCAGGACTTCATGATATAAACCCAGTAAACTAAGCTGGGGTCATATTTAAAAGATTCGGTGTTATGGAAAGAGAGAATATCATCCACTACATAAACAGTTTTATTCAGGACTTCATAATATGAACACAGTAAACTTAGCTTGATCGGTTTTAGCGATTTCGTGACGCTAAGGACTGCTCTTTCCTGTGACAGGATTTTGATGTGTTCATGTGTGGTCTTGGACCACTCTGAGTACAGATATTTCAACAGCAGGGCTGGTGGGAAAACTACCCGTAAACACGAAGCCTTTGGACATCCGAGCCGGCTGCTCACTTGTATTAAACTTGAAAGGTCGCACTTACCCCTTGTTCTTGTTGTAAACCGAAATGAAATGTCTCCTACGAACAAAAGGCGGGCTAAAATATAATTTTTTAAAAATAGATAACGGTGGCTAGCAAGTTATTCCGGTTAGCAGACTCTTATGATGAGGTTTTTTATTCCCAGACATCGATCTGTCTGTGCCGTTTAATATGACTCAAGACTGGTACAGCCAAATCAGGGAGATGTAGTTGTGAGGGAAACAAAAGTCTAAGGACTGGTAGAGATTTTCAGGTTGCTCTTCTGGTAAGAATGATTCCTATATCAACCGCTTTCCACCCTCGTGCACTCGCTACTCACTAGAGAGTTTCCGGCGGATTATTCAAGGATAGCTGTAGCAGCTGATCGATTTAGCAAAAAGGTGTTTATAACCGTAAAATGACGAAATTAAGCAGTTTTTGCAAGATGTGAACATTTGAACTAAATAAAGTCATATTAAATCTCAGAAAAATCATAGAATACGCAATTTTGGAGTTTGCGTCCCTAATCTATTAATAGCCTTGGAAGTGCTTGTGGAAACAGTCCCATCTCCACACACGCCATTTCCGGCCGATGGCGTGAATTAAGCAGACCGAAACGCAGATATGTTTTTATATGCATAATGAATTTCGAAAGCCTTACTCTGTGTATTCTAAGATCTTAATTTAAGGATTTCGGATAGTTTTCAGGCTGATGAAATAATTTCCACTTCTTTAGGTGCGGTTTAAAAGGACAAAGGTCCCTTTGCGCAGTTGGCACGAGTTTGAGATTGGCAGGCTTGGCTTGTCATAGACACTCGCTCTTTGAAAACCCCTTCTTTGCTCGGACAATACACAATTAACATTCTGTAATACACGTTTTTTGATCATTGAAGACCTTTTGGTTAACAAACTTAACGGTTCTTTTAAAAATTTTTTTTTAAGTATTGCATGCAAGGCGCAGTAGTATGCATTTCCTCCCAATTTTTTCCCTATTAAGGCATCAATGTTTTATACCAATTACGGTACTCATATTTCAGAGACAAGTTTGGCAATTGTTATACGACCTTACGCCCAGAACATTGCTATTCCCTTTACCGAAAAAGGCTGGAATTACTTGTCTGACAACAAAAGCTTCGCGGGAAATTTATTTTGTCTATCTTTGGATCTGCCCTAATCTAATATGCTTCACTGTTTATAATCCTTTTGCCAACGATGTAGGAATTTTGAGATCTGGAGGTATGTTAAAGCACATTCGCATGATTTTTTTGATTTCTACATTGTAATGAGACTATTTTGGATGAGGACAGAAATCGAGGACGTTAGGAAGATAGTGCACGCGTTCTCTCGGTCACGGGGCGAAGATTCGCTGATACAGCTATTAATAGATCTGCAATATGAACCCTGTCATCGTGAAATCTGCACCACGACTAATTAATTGATTTCTGCTTTGTCAAATCGAAATATATAATTACGTCACAAAAGCGAAAGGAATGGAAATCCTTCGGTAAAATCTTAAGAACAAAAACAACTACCTTCGTCATTTGCAAGGTCGCTTTCTGTTTATCAACAGCTTATGGACTTTTGCATCAAATGTCTCCAGAAGTGACAGCAGTTGTCACGCTAACTGCAGTTTATCAATTCTATTGCCTCAGCAACTCTCAGTTTTGCTTAAAAAATTTGATTTGACTTATCTTATCGCTCAAGAGAGAGAAATGTATCACAAAAAATAAACTACCTTATCAAGGATGACGCAAAGAAGTGAAATTCTTTCGATTTTTCGGAGATGAAGCATGGAAAGCGGGTCATTAAGTTAGTTTGCAAATTTCACAATTTTGCAGCTGACGTAATAAACCGCTGCGACTACTGAAACAGCTTGTCTCAGAGGCCGTAACGCACGCAGTTGTGTGGAGACATAAGTAACTTTGACGTTATTCCAACACTGGAAATGATCTGGCGAAATTGCAGTGCATCTGAAAGTTGTCATTGCAGTCTGTTTCCCTTCAGTCTTTTAAGTTTCAAAGATCATTTTTTCCATCCGTCTTCTGTGTGATTTGATTAAAAGGAAACCTTTGACAACTAGGGGGGCATCAAAAACCGGAGTGCAGAAGTCACTAAATGCTGAATGCTTGTTTTAATCGACACATGCGTCGAAATTTCACAAGGGCAGGTTTAAAAGACATGAAAACACTTAAATTCAATGTAGCTCGCTTTCATGATGGAATTATTAAAAGCTTGGACTAAGTCCTCGAATAAGAGTAACAGGGATCAACAGCAATCAGAGCTCACTCGGATGAAAATAAAACCTCGATATGCTCTCCAAAATATATATCTACCATCTCTTAGGTATTAATTTTGCTTAGGTGCTAAATTATATGATTTTTTTAGGCTGCCGCTAAACAGGCGTCGATCTAAAGAGATTACAGGTAGATTCATGTGAAGTGATTGTTTGACAGAGACGATGCCCTAACAGCTTTTTAGCCTCCGAAGTAAATAAAAGGATTTATGTAAGACCGCCAGTTTTTCCTGTTCCCGTAGGAAACAGGAAACGATTTTCTTTTTTAAGTTTTTTGCTATCAGGTTTTTTAGCAGATTCTAACTCAGTAAATGCGATAACTTTCACGTGTGTGACGTCATTATCGTTCTTCGGACAACATTCGAAATGGATGTGATGACTTAGGATTGGCGTCACTAGCTGGTGAATTCTAGCAAACTGCGTAGATAAACTACGCTTGCGAAAACAAGCTTTTTCAAAGGATCGCTTCTGATAAACACAAAAACTGCACAATCATCCTCAGAGATTCAGTTTTTTTAGATAGCTATTCATAAACACTTGATGACCTTCTGTGACATTTTCGAAGTAGGGAAATTTCTCAGATGGTATAGACGTGACTACTTGAAGTGAGATGAGTAATAACATCTAACAAAGGTTAACGTGAGTCAGGTTTTTCAGGGTATCCCTTTGTGAAAATTGGCTGAGTCATGGTAGAATTTTTGCTTTCGCTTGCTGAGCAACAACAGGGTCATTACGTGGGTTTTTGCCCACGCGCTTATTGAGTTTTTATTCAGTTCCGGGTTCGGTCCCTAATTTCAATTTACAAGGAATCCCCTGCGATCGTCGCCGCAGACCTGCAAAAATATTGCCTATTTCCCCCTTTTGACAGTGAACTGTGAATGAATTCATGATATTGCCGACATTTTAAGAGATAATTCGTTATATGATAAGATGGGTAATGTTTACAAATTAGAAACTCAGGGAATGCAAACATGACGTCTATTCTTACATACGAATAACAAGTCAGCGAGAAAAAAATTAAAAACAAAAAAGGAAAACCCAGTTTTCTGGGCTTGATTTCGCTCGAAAAGGGCATCAAGCTCGATGCTGTTGTGTTCAATTTAGTCGTATATCTTTTTCATTTGCGTTCTGTTCCATTATTCTGCGGACCGACCTTTGTTTACATTTTGTATATCAATTCCAGACGATTGCGAAATACCTCTTCTCCATTATCTCTTGCGCAAATTACGATTTTCTGGTGACGGATAACAAAAATATACGTCTTTGAAGAATAAATGGAACATGTATCAGCCGGTTGAAACAGATCGTGCTTCGTAGAATGTTTATTTCGCAATCTAATCTGCAGGGCAAGGTTAGAACGTTGAATAATTTATTTGCTTACGTCTGTCACGCGCCGCTGAGGTTCTAGATTGTTCGGCGTGATGCTTCTGAAAACGCTGAAACCTTGTTAAAATCGAAAAAAAAGACTTCTCGAACGTCACGAATCCCTTTCATATGAACTTTTATTTTCAAATTCAAGCAAAAAAGTTCGAGGAATCCGCAGAAAAGGCAAATAATTCGCGGAGATAAAATGGTTGATTATCAGAAAGCATTTACCAGGCCTTTCTGAGTCTTCTATTTGTTTGATGTTTCCATAGCGGAGCAAAAATTGCGAGCTTGTGATTGGCACATGACGCATGACGTATCTATCGTTTTCCCTATTTTTAGAATATCTGTAATGTATGCTAATTCATTGTGGAAAATCGAATAATATATAACTTGGCGTTCGGGATTTTCCCAGAATAAAGGTGATCTCAACTCAAAACAAGCTTTATCAGGGAAAAACACCATTGGACAGGCGCGAAAAGTAAATCTTTGTCTGATGCTTGACTACACCCACGTGCTCGACTTGAATAAGGCATCATCTAACAAGATGTTGTTGCCACATTTGAATCTGCCTCTGCCTATGGACACAACTCCTGGCGACGAGCGAAATTTTTTGTCTGGAGGAGCGAAAATGCCCGTTCCATATCATTTGGATGAATCTGACAGCGACTCCATTGTAAGCGTAGGATTTTGACATCGCTTAAGTTAGTTTTAGACGTAATTCTGCGAAGTCTGCTTGCTAGCCATATTGCATCGTACATTGTTCGATGTGATTACGACAGTAACGGAAATTTACATACAGAACTTTTGCTTATCTATGTCTCCGCATCGTAAATTTTTTTTCTCTTACGGTTGCGGTACTTTTATCTGCCAGTTCTAGGAAAGTGACATTCTTTGCAGTTCTACCGTTCAGATTTGTTATAAAACACTGAATCAATCATGTTAGGTCAGAATACTATTATTAGTGCGTAATAACAAACACTGTGTTTTAACCTGACTTAGCAATTTTATCCTAAGCATTTATTGTAAAATTACCCTATGGAATTGAGTTGTTGTCGAATGTTTCGCTTCCTTTGAAGAATATTTTACGTTAAAATATATAATCGGTGTTTTCACAATTATTATCACGTACTCTTCATTCGCTTTGATAAAGCATTGTACCTCTTTCTAAAGGTGGGCGAAATTGCGTGCGTTTCAACGCTCGCATTAATATAACCAAGTATAGTTAATTTGACATTAAATATATTTTACTAAACAATTTTTTTTGCTCACTACGGAAACAGGTATCGAGTGAAGATGCCAGTTATACAGAACTCGTTCCAATGAGTAGTGGAGCAGCAGACGAGGTGAAAGTGGGACTTCGGAACGCAATTAAAACGCGAAGAGTTGCCCAAGGTTTGGATGGAATGCCGCTAATCGAATCGAAGAAACCAAGACTTGAAGTGGTATGTTTAAATGTCGCGTTTTACATTCTTTGCGTGATTCTTGTCGTTTAGTTTACGCGCGTTTGAATTCATAATAAAACGCTATGTTGAGGCTTATGCTAATTTGTGGTTTTCCGTCATAAGTGCCATTCAAGGTCACGTACGTTAAAAATAATTTCCTCTTGTTTTCATTTCTCGCTAGCTTTCTAAAGAGGAAGAAGAGAAACGTCGAATTCGAAGAGAACGAAACAAGGTAGCGGCTTTTAAATGCAGGCAAAGAAGGAAGGAACACATGCAGAAGCTTCAAGATGTGAGTGCTCGATTTTTACAACTTGTGATTCATGTCACGCTCCCAACCGGAAATGAACCTGTTCAAGTCACGTGGATCATATGATGGTTCCGTTTCAGTTCCGGTTTAGGGAGGATTTTTTTCTTTAACAACGGAACCTCAATCTCAGTGATGAATAGGCTCTACCTTAAAAATAATTCCACGTCATTTCCGACTTTTTGACTCCGTGCGCTTGTCGCTATCCTTAATGCCCACTATAAAACCAAATTTGGTAAAAAAAAGAACGAAGAATTGTGAGCCATATCCCGAACTCGTGGGTGTCGGATAGGTGTGGTCCCCGTTTACTCGAAAGAATTCTCTAGAAAATAACATAAGGAACAAACAGTTGTAATTTAAGATATATAAGAAAGTAATTAAAACACTCTATAGCTATTATTAAAATTATTGAGGTTAACATCGCAGACAGCTCGTCTGATTTCCTTGTCATCAATCAAACATGGGCGGGTCGAGCGACGATGTTGAGTGTTTTCAATCGAAAAGAAGATCAAAACACTCCTTTCGTTAGTGCTTCACTATTATATTTTTCTGAATGCGTTCGTAATGATCGAATGATAACATCCTTCGCGCAAATTTGGTTAGCTCAATGGGACGTAAACATGTACGATTAATTTCAGTTTCATATATTCCTATTAGTTCTGCAATGCCTAGTTTCGAACCTTATATTGTATTTCAATATGATGATAAGCAGATACTCGTATTTTAATGTCAGCTTCATGGAAAAGCTTCGCTGATGGACTTTTTTGTTTTTCTTCTCATCTGTAGGAGAGTGATGAGTTGAACTCTGAGAGGGATTCTCTGGAGAAAGAACTGGTGGCCCTTACGGCGCAAAAGGAACAGTTAGAGAGGATGTTCCGAAGCCATAACTGCATTCTGAAGGACTCTAGGTCGAATGGTAATAAAACCACCTCAGAAGACCACGGCAGCGATGCTAAGTCGCCCCATTCCTGTTCGGCGGAAATGGCAAAATCAAACGAGTCATCCAGTCCTACGAGTCCAGTGCCAGATTCCATAAAAGCATGAGGAATACATGTACGTAAGGCGTATTACAAACTGGTGCAACCTTCGTTGGATATCCATCCGCAGAGTTAAAGTTACTCATGGAATCAAAGCATTTGATTACCACGCGATGTATCCATATTATTGCATGGATTGCTCTCCAAGTGGGAAGCATAAACACAACTCGTCTACTGAGTGAAAAAGACATTTATACTTACTAATTTATTTAACCGTTCACGATGAACAAGTTTGGTTAATGAAATCCTCTACGGTTTTATTAGGCAAGAAAGAGAAAAAGAGAAAAGTGAAGGATATATCAGTTGTTTTATCCCATTCAATTTGTCAAATAGAAATGAGAGATTTTAGAAATAATTTTAAGTTATTGAACAGAAAGAAAGATTGACTAATATATGATAAATTTAAGTTCTGTTTCACTGTCTTGGAACATGTTTATTTTGCTTTTGATTTCGTTTCGTTTCGCGTCTAGTTTATATTTTAAAACTCTTTTTACAGATAAATAGTCGAAGGTTGCGAGAAAGGAAATTGATTTTCGTGAAGCTGTCGCTCGTGGTTTTAGAGTTTAAAACGGACGAGAAACAGAAAGACCGAAAAAGAAGGAATGTTGGATGATTGTAGAAAACATAGGAAATAATTTCAAGATAGATGATAAACGCAACGTTGGGTGGAAATTCAGTCGGCTCTATGAAAAGCCTTCACGACTTTACTAAATGTAGAGGTGTTTCGAAAAAAAAAACATTCATTTTAAGAGAAGTAATCATAATAGGACATGTACGTATTTATGAAATAATATTATTGAAAAATGTAGGATCGAGAATTATTAGTGAAAACAGATTGACGGGGTAGAGAGTGGCCATGAACTATTTTATTGTTATGTAAATAAAACGTTAATTAGGAGTACATTGTGTTTCCGTTACATAGAGTTGTTCTTCCGCCGTAACGAGTCAAAATAAAGTGCAGTTTGAGCGTGATATAGTCAAAGTTAGTTGTAAGAGATAGTTAATGTCCTAAAGTGTGACAGCAACATTTTTCAGAGTTAGTATGGTTTGAATGAAATGAGTGAAAATTAATTTATTGAGCATAACTTAGCGGGTTTACTACTAAAAGATCTTCGTGGACCACAATGATAAAAAAAAAAAAAAATGAATAAAAAAAAATAATACTGTCAGTGAATACTAGCATGCCTTCGTCGTGACGTGGCTGGTTTTTAAATCCTTTTCCACATCACGTACTCTGCGGTCTTAAATTGTGATACACATCCTTCGCCGTAGGGCGGCAGAGTACTACGAAAAAAACATTGAAAGTTTCCTGTTTCCTGCGTTCCATGAGTGAATTCGTGAACAAGCGACTGGATAAAAATTATCTGAAGTAAAAGAGCAAAGGAACTTAGTTTAAGCAACGTCATAAAGAAATAATGCGTTGATGAACTAATAGGGAAACGGATAAGAGTTTTCAGTTCTAAACAATAACATTCTTTCAAAGTTAATCTCTTTTGTTTTCGAATTTTGTTTGATAAGCACCGGAAAAATTTCTGCGTTGAAATTTAAATTTGTCCGTGAGACAAATTTCCTCGCTAATGTCGAAGATGCTATTTTGCGACAATCCGAATCGTAATTTTTTGGGGAGAGATGAACAAAATTACATTCAGATTGAAAGGAAATTACAAAAAAATTAACATCATACGATAGAAAGATTCTAACGAGGCGACTACAAATTACATAAGAATAACAGTGGCCATAACAAATATTAACACGGATGCAGATGACTGCAGCTTAGAAGTTGAAGAAACCGTGACTTGGCACCCTTGCGTTTCAACGGCACAGACATTTTTGACTCAGCGACAACGACAATATGAAAAAAAAAATCACTTTTAATAACGCTGACTTAACAATTATTTTAAGCAGTCTTGGACGCGCATTTCAAATTTAACTTATGGATCAGTGAGAACGACAGTGTTTCTTGAAAAAGCTAAATATATCTTTTCGGCGAGAAATGTAGCCATGATTACCTCGTAGTCTAGTGGAGTTTTCTCATAGTGTGGTTAGTGTGGTTCTCGTAAAAATCGATAACCGGTACAATGGACAATTGCAAAACCACCAGTCATGATAGCTGCCTTGCACGATCACAATAAGTGCCGTAAAAGTTAAAGAGTTGGTTACATAATTTTTTCCTGGTCGCTTAGAATTGCATTTTTTCCGCATTTTCCTTATGCGGTCCAATTTTCTTTTATATTATTTCTTTAAAAATTTCATGAAAGAGGTTGTGGTTATTCAACGCGGTGAATAACAATAAAAGCTGAGTTTTCCGTTTGTCTCACGCTGTAGTCACGAGTGATGTAGATCGCGACGTTTCGACTACAAATACTGCCAGTCTTCTTCAGGCGATAAGGTCGACTGATCATGAAAATGTTCCGTGCTGTACTACATGCAGACGGCGAGGCAAACTTCCTTGTCACGTACATCCATTGTTAAATTCCTTGAGAACATTTGACGTGGTTCCTACTTACATAACATGGACTTTAAATTTTGAGTCTCGACAGACATTTCCACGTTTCCAATTGTAGCGATTGACGTAAACTGACACAATTCCTTACATAACATCGACTTAAAGTGAAAAGGCTCGTCAAACATTTCCTTATTTTAAATTGGAGAGATTGACGTAGACTGACACAATTCCTTACATAACATCGACTTTAAGCGATAAGGCTCGTCAAACATTTCCTTGTTTCAAATCTAAACAGTAATTTTTCCATCATAGAAAACTCTAATCTAAGTCTTTTTGCCTCATTATATCATAACGATTTTACCGTCCACGTGGTTTTTATGCAGCTAGTCCATTTTTAAACTTCAAGGGACCATCCAAAAAAAATTTGCCTGCTTAGGTTAGGCTTCGCTCAGCAGTCACGCGTATTTCTTAATTGGATTGAAATAAGATGCATTTTCAAGAAAGGAGCAATTTTTCCGCTTTGGTTTCAAGTTCCTTTCAGAAAAAAAATAGGCGGAACGACACGGTAAATTCTGCTTTTCAAAGTTCCTTTTTGCTGCCACAAGCACAAAATAACCAACATTGGTACTTTATTGTTTTTTCTTGGAACGGATGGTAATTTTAGCAACCAAAGACAAGATCAAATGTCTTTCCACGAAAGATTAATTAATTGTTTCCTCAGAGGCTAACAAAACGGCTCGTTACATAATATGTATCAGGCACAAGTTGTCTCAGATAACATTTTAAGAAAATAAGATATGGGAATTCTACGACGAGGATTTGTCTTTGAACAAAACGAATATATTCCATTCGTTCAGTTCCTTTTTTTGTCACTGAAATGTCCTGTCTGTCCCGTTTTTCCTAAGAAAAGATTTCTTCAACACGTTCAGAGTAACAATGTCCTTCTGAACGTGATCTTTGAGAGGAAAAAAATTGATATAGTTTCTGATCTGACTTGAGTTTCCGTCGGGGAGAAAAAAAACAGAGGAAACTTCGTCTTTAGTTTCAAGGGAGTCCCTTTTCGGATCAGATTCTCCAAATAGGCCACTTCAATGTGTACCTTAATTGGAAAATATCGCCATGTTTTCGACGCAATAATATGAATAACAAAAAGTAATGTCTAAATTTAGTTGGTATATATGGTGGACATGTCAGGACACTTAATTCACATTTCTTCATCGAGCTTTCAAGGAATTTCGATCACAGATTTGAGACACATAAACTTTACATATTTTAATTTGTTTAGCTCTCTGAACTCGTGCGTAACATTAGGTGATCGTACGAACAACCATTGATTTAAAAGTTCATTCGATTCACCGATTGCTTCTTTCACATCGCGGAAGCCGTTAACCCTTTCACTCCCGATCGCGATTTCATCAGTAATTCTCCTTACTCTCTGCCATACAATTCATGTGTGGTTAGTTCGGAGAATTTGGCTTTGTTTCAACTCGATATTTTTCCCTGTACTTTTCTGCTTGATCTTGTATCGATGTTGTGAGGATATTGGTCACCCATGGCACAGGCAAGTGAAAGCAAGTCCTATGAAGTATCTCCTGGTTTGTGCGAAGTCTAGTTACCGCAGATCCCCGACATCCAGAAATCATCAACGAATTTCTGCCTTTATATAAGTATGAGTATAACTTTCAAAAGAACGATAACATCACATTACCTTAAGGGAAAGACGCAAAAAAACGCAATTTATCTGAACTCACACAGGTACTTTGTGGACTACTGCCTCTAATGTCGAAATATTTCTAAGCAAAAATAAAATGCATCGGTGCCGCGCTTACTGTTGTGTCCTTCCCAGCCATTGTTTGGTCTCGTCACACAACGCCATCTTTTCCCCGTTGGAGAGAGAGCGTTGCGTGACGAGACCAAATAACAGTTGCAAAAGGGACTACGCTTACTGCCAATCCTCTAAGAGGGAGAAATTAAAATTATTTGTATACAGTTGGTTGCCTTAAAAATATATTTACACGTTATTCTACTACGGAAAGGAAACTGAAAGCCTCTCTGGTCTTTGCCCTCTGTGTGTGTGAAATACGTGATAAAATGCAGGTTGTTTACGAGGAACTAACACGCGATTGGATTAAGTCCAAGGTAGCTAAAAGCCAATTTTGTTCGTAGGAAAAGTCAAAACGCAGGAGAATTGCGTGGAAAATTCACTATCAGTGACATTTTGTTCCATATGAATCGTTTTTAGTGGGGTTGGACAATGCGGTTGGAATACGTTATTACATGCAGGTTGTTTGAAAGGAAATGACACTTGATGGAGCGAAGTCTAATTTGGCAAAATGTAATTTGATTGGTGGAATACAATTCACACACGCGAAAAATTGCCTAATGTTCATCTTGTGCAGTGATTGGGTATGTTCTGATTGAACTTGAACGTTGTTTTTGTGGTACGTGATGGAATGTAAGTTGTTTGGCGGGTGAGTTGTGAGTAAAGGAACGGAAAAAACACGTTTTAAATTGAAAATAATACAAAAAGGTTGAATGCGAACCTTTCATATCCCGATAACTCTCGACCTCAATCGATGACGCTCTCGCGAAGGCCACAAACCATTACAGTTATCAAATTAGCCCAAAATTTATAGTTAATGTCACTCTTTGTGCACAGCCCCCTGATTCCATGACATCATTTACATGAAAACAATAGTCAAACGCTGCTATTAGTGCAAGATATCCAAATGCTGTGATATGACTGGTGCGAGATAATACCTTAAATGCTGTGATTGGTGCAAGATATCCAAATGCTGTGATATGACTGGTCCAAGATACATACCCTAAACGCTGTGATTGGTGCAAAATATCCAAATGCTGTGTGCGTGATACATACCCTAATGCGGCAATCTGATTGGTGTGGGATACATAACCTAACGCAGAAATCTGATTGGTGCGAGATACATACCGAAATGCGGCGATCTGATCGGTACGAGCAACATACCACTCTACACCTTGACAAAGAGCAATTTTTTTTGTAAAAAAATAACTCAAAAAAGCCATCCGGCTTAAACGTTTTCCTTTGCAATCCGTGTCCCTTCCGTCCCGGTGTAGGAAGCTTACCATCACAATCATTAAGATCGCGAACAATTACCCACTTGGAACTCTCTTTTTTGTTTCATACCATACTCGTTTTGGCAGAAAATATCGCTTTATTCGGTACTTGTGACAAATGACTCATCACAAGAATTACTGCATAAAACCAAGGAAAATAGCCGGGTGTATTAATTCGCTTACATGTGGACCCAAACGAGGAAACGGGAAAATTCAACAACTAACAAGTTTTGCATTAAAAGAAAGGCTATATTTTGCACTGACACTACGTTGACCTACGTTGGCCTAAGTTGGAAAGTGAACAAATTTTCGTTACAAAAAAGAGTCTCAATGGGCTGATCGCTTTTACGGCTGATGGTTACAATTTTTGCGAAAGGTTAAATTCTTTCTGTTACAGTTCAAAGAAAAATTTTTACGGCTGTTTTTTTTT